GACCTATGAATCTAACCTATGTTGTATCACCTGGATGTAGCCAGACTTGAAACAAGACATAAAAACGAAGACAGAATATGCATGATGTGAATATTATTATAACTACATGGTATAGAAATCAAACTATATATATGAAGCAGGCACACCTTGACAAACATCTACCTTAAAAGTCAATGAAATAAGTTAAGTATTGTGATGAGTACACATAAAATGACTCATGTTACTTGATGAACTATGCAAAATATAATGGTACCCAATTTATTTTCATATCATTTTAATAAACTGATTAGTCTTCATTCTTACACCCCCAGTTTGTACAATATAATGAATGGGAAGAAAGATGTAGCTTTTACTAGTCCAGTTTGCCATATTCATATTCATTCAACACATCAACTTTTGCTTTTTTTGTTTTAAGAGATGATTAAGAAGATTAGAACAAGAAAGCTGCTTTTTGTTATAGCTGGATAGGTAGTTATCACCTTGAAAAATGGCTGAATCCACATATCTTATTAAACAATGGTTTGCTTAACCAGGATTTATAGAAAAATTGGCTGAGGCTGCATAATGCAACAAAACAAGAAAAAAAAAAAAACACCAAACCACCATATTATGGATTGGCACAAGATGTAAAATAAGTCATTGAGAGAAGTAAAGTAAATAACAATTTGTTACCTAATTTTAGAGATTAATTTTGTCAATGGAATTTAACTGTGCATGAAATTATGTTTTTAAGATCTGCAAAACATGGGGGGCATTTTCCTGTCCTGAAACTTTCTGTTCAAAAGGTATTTTTATATTTACTTCAAGAACATATAGCACAAGTACAGCACGACTAGAACATCATAATATTTCAAGTATTTAGAGTAACAGAAAAAAATACACAACTTGGGTATTTTTTTTTCTTTCGCTACTCCCTCAACCAGAGTAACTCATTCCACAAACTATCCCAAGCCCTTCTTTTTCTGGCACTCTCCAGTGCTGTAGCAGAAGAAGGGAACTAATGGAAAGTTATGTGTTTTTCTGAAAGAAGGAGAAGTGGAATAACATTCCGAACAAGACATTTGAAACAAAAACTCAGTTTTTCTTATAAGATGTTCTGTTACACAAACAGTGCCACATGCTCCACACCAAAGCCATGCCCCCAAACTGGTTTAGCCAATCTTTCCAAAACAACATTCAGAATGCATTCCAAAAGTAGCAGGGATAAGACTTGGCAGACTGGGAGACCGGTTTCTATCTTGTGGATAGTGAGGTACTGCAACCCCACCCTTCACCTAACGTGGTGCACTACTCTGCGGCTGTGTTTACATGTGGTTTGAATTTATGTTCTTCTCTCCTGAGACACACATGTTGTGCCTCACCAATTTTATTACTGCTTTCCCTCCATGCTGAAAATGCCATGTTAAGTTGCCAGCAGCTATACATGAAAGCTGTAAGCTTCCTAACACTGTATCACACTATTTGTTCCTACTTAATATCAAGAGATACAACTCTGGATCTGAGTCAAAGAAACTCAGAATCCTTTTACTTGCTTATGTCACATTTATATAATAACTTTAAAGCACTTAAAAGAGAAAAAAAAGAATACTAATGCAATCTGATGGATTACTGATTTTTCTATTCATATCTTATTTCACTGAGCACATTTTTTAAAATATTCCAGCAACCTTCAGCAATAGCTCATGCCAATGTACCTAGTTAAGCTAGAGCCCTAAGAGAAATTTAATGTATCACACTTAAGTGCCAACTTTAAAATGGAAAATATTCTATGGCTTACGGAATTGTTCCAGAAGCTGAATTAGCAAAATCGGTTAGGGTTAGTAGAAGTTGCATAGAATATCTTATCAGATTCCAGGTGGAATAAAAACATAAATGTTGTGAGATCCCTGAAAGATATGCATAGCACATATATCAGGATTTTATGACATTATCATGATGTATTAGGCATGCCTGTTCCATGTTACAGTTAAAGATCAATTTCCAACTTAAGTGGATTCTGAGCAGATCTAGTAGGTGATGAATTTATCTAATGTTTATAAAAAGCCCAAGTAAGAATAGCTGCATAGACACTTGCAGTTGAAGACTGAATCCATAACCATACATATGAAAGGGATGCAACTTTCAGCACCACACTTATGATGCTGTTGTCATTTACCATTGATGCTTCTGCAATGTGATATCCAGAAAATGCATAAACAAGGTACTTGTGTGATAACACTTGCCTTCTCCTTGAAATTCCTAATATATAGATACAATAATTGTTGGATTTTCCAGCAATTATATGATATATAAATTTAAATTAGGTTTTCATTAGTGTCACAGTCAACCAGGTCATGGTTGTCCCAAAGGTGCTATTTTTTTTTTCAAGAAGCAACTGGACTTTCTGAAGCTTCTTCAGCTTTGACTAGATTGTGGGGAATGGAAGGATTTATACCCCTTGCAGACTGCTGGACAACTGGACTTGGCTAAATAATGCAAATGTCCAGCTGTCTGCAAGGGACATAAATCCTTTCATTTTCCACCATCCAGTCAGGGCTAAAGAAGCTAATTGGATGAGAAGCAAAATGTCTTCCAAGAAAAACCAGAAAGTCCAGTTGCCTCTTGAGAAAAAAAAATGCACCTTTGGGTTTTCATTAGTATTCCAGTAGAGCAGCATATGTAAAGTGCTGATGTGAATAGAAGTTAAACCAGAACCTCAACTATAACTCAGTACTAACTTCATAAAGTTCTGGAGGAAGCTGCATCATCATCTGACACACCTGCTATAAAATGGTATTGAAAATGGAAGTCAGTGTTCTTGGACTCCCTCAGCCATGGCCCCTTCCCCAACTTACCTCACGGGTGAAAAGAACAGCAGCATCATAGTGCTCATCATGATCATCATCCAATTGATTGTGCTGGTGCTGCCACTTGCAGAAGTTTTTGAGTGTGGTGGCTGCATTCTTGGTGATCTCTAGACCTTTCTCCTTGTCCCCCAGCACCACGACCTTCACAACCACCAGGCGGATGTGATTCTCAATGCTGGCATGTCCATAGAGCCGAGAAGCAATGGTGGCCAAGGTGAGCAAGTAGTGTTGGAGGCCTTTGCCATACTTTTTGGTCATGGAGTCATCAGCCACCAAGAGAAGTTCTACCTGTCTGGCTCTAGAGATAGAACGTTTCCTTCTTTTTCTAGAGTCCACAGGAGGTGCAAAAGTGATAGGGGAAAGTGCCATTCTGGTGGTCAGATCTATTCCCAGTTTCTCCTCCTGCCCTTGGGCCAGTTCCTTTTCATCCAAAAGTGGGGTCCTGGAAGAACCATGAGTCTCACAGCTGGGGCGGGAAGGCAGTGTTTCAAAGCTGAAATGATCCCTGAAGAAGAGATGGAGTATCTGCCCAGACACATCTCCATAGATCCAGTCGTGAGAAGCCTTTTCCTCTTCTGTTATACCTTTGCCTCGGAGCAAAGGTTTCACCGTGTAGCGGGCATGCTTGACTGCAAAATAGCCATCTAAGCCACCACAGAGATTGAAGACTGCCAGAGACTGGGCACTCCCATCCACCGTGCCCCGATAGTAGCAGTGACCCTTGCCCTGGAGCAGCTGCTTGGTGGTTCCAAGCAACGCGTCCTTCTCCAGATCTAAAAGGAAGCGCTTCTCATCCAGGTAGAGGATGTAACCCACCTTGCCTCCTCCGGCATAGGTCTGGTCTATGCTTTCTACTATCCCGCTAGGTCGCTGCTCCCGGAGAAAAGGTCGGAGGAGCCGAATCGTTCCCGGCGCCGCAACCGCTTTGGATTGCTGCAAAGCTTTATCATAGGCAGGTGCTGAAGTTGCTGGGGAAACTCTGGCGGCGGCAGCAGCGGCAGCTTGTAAGCTTGCAGCCAGCGGCAGCAGCAGCGAGCAAACAATCTTCAGTTGCATGGTGCTGAGCTCCGGGACCGGCGATGCGATGGCCGGGCAGGGGACGGCCGAGCGGGGCGAAGACCGAGCGTTTGCAAAAGAGGCGGCGGCGGAGGCAATCGTTTTGGTTCTCCTCACTAGCTTTGGGGAGAGAGACGCCGCGCTTCCCGCGGCCAGCAGGCATGGGAGAAGTTGAAAGACTTCAACACTTCACTTGGCGGCCGACGAGTCATCCGGCTGAGGAAGCCAGCGGCAGTTGCAGCCACGCTCCGACCGGAGGAACCCCTCAATTCCTTCCTCCCCTTGTTTTATTCTTGCTCTTCTCCCTTCTTCGGTCGTTTGGCGGAAGGAAGGGGAGCGAGCGAAGGAGCGGGAGGGCAGAAAACAAGCCCTCGCTTGCCGGTTAAGGGAGCGGGGCGCGGGGAAAGGGAGAGACAGATGTCCCAGGTTAAAGTGACGAGCCTCCTCTTTTGAGTTGACGGGCGGCGGCGGCGGTTAGCCCCAGTCTGCCGAAGCGAACCAGAAGAACCCGGCGAGCGTTGTGAAGATGAGAGGAGGTGGAACAATGCATTTATAGCGGAATGCCATCCTGCAATGGCAATTTCAATAATTCGTCATTGCAGGCTGCCTCTTAAAGGGAGAGCTTCGAAACATCCACTCCCACACTTCCTTCGGAAGGGGGTGGGGGAGAAGAGCAGGGCAGGGGGTCACGGAGGTAAGAAAGAAAGAAGGCGAGGAGTGGGGGGACCTGGGAGGCGACGTTTGACTAAGAAAGGGGAGAATTCCCAAGTTTCCTTCAAGCTGCAGCCTTTTCGGGAAAAGGCTGCTATTTCTTCAGCAGTCAGGTTGACGAGATACTTTCCCTTCAGCCCCCTCTTTCCGTCCGGCCAGTTTCGACATTGCTCTCGTTATGAGCCATGTCAGTGAGGTGGTGCGACAACTTTGTGGGTAGAGGAGAAAGAGTGACTCTTGCTCAGAATTTCTCAGCAGAAGTTCAGTGAGCAAAAACAAAAAGAAAATACTACATTAACGGGGCTTTTTTTTTTTTTTTTTTTTTTTTTTTGCAAACAGTGACTGACTCTTAATGTTGTAAGCTGCCCAGAGTCTTCTCATGGGCCAATGGGTGGCAAACGAATACCCATTATGACACTATCATTTTGTCTAAAGGAGCCTTCCACTTCTATGGAAAAGCAGCACCATGCCACCAGAATTTGATATAAGAGAAAGAAAATTAATTCATCTGTCCTTTCTTTTGTCCCTTTAGCTTAAGGAGAACTGGAGAAGTCAACTGTCAGTTTGGAAGGTCTGCAAATAATTAGGAAGAATTAACTCTTACTGCAATATATGTGGATTATATTTTATTATGTTGTAAGCCACAAGGAGTCACCTTGAACCACAAGATAAGTAGCATATAAATTTAATAAATAATTAGGGGTCCTCGGTGCTTTCTGATCTGGCTTGTTTCCTTGCAGATGTTTCATTACCCAAATTAGGTAACATCATTAGTGCTAGCTATTATTAAATAAATACAGTTTAATATTAATTTGAATTTGTCTATACCTTTTCCGCTCTCTCCCCCCACTAAGGCAAATGCCTTAAGATATTCATTATTTATTGAGCTGTTTCATCACCATCTTTTGAAATGTCACACAATGCTTGTAAAGCCATATTAAAAATCAGAGGTAATAAAAAAGATAGATAATTACAAATGTGTGATGCAACCCCACCATTTTAATGGTATGATCCATGTAGTAAAGGGGAAAATTTTGATCCATGGCTGTCACATCTTACGCACTTCATCTAGAGTTGGATTAAGGAAAATGAAGCAACATTATGGACTCATGAAGAATAAGTCATAAGCAAGCATAATTTGTCATTACTTAATATTGACATTGATCATGAAGCAATTCAGCTGAGACATCACTTAGCTACTAATTTCCTATTTCTTAGAACTATTACTAATACAAACCAGTATCAGTTTTTATAGGAGTTAATTACTTTTCTAATAAGATGGTTAGTTACATTACCCATAAAACTGAATTGTAATAGTCTTATACACACACATCTATTCATCTGTAAAGCCCAGTGTTGTTGTTGAGTCGCTAAGTCATGTCTGACTCTTCACAACCCAATGGACCACAGCACACAAAGCTTCCCTGTCTTCCATTGTCTCCCAGAGTCTCCCAGAGTCTGGCCAAATCCATACCCACTTCATCAATAACATTTATCTAACCATCTCATCTTCTGCCATCCCCTTCCCCTTTTGCTTTCACTCTTTCTCAAGATCACAGTCTTTTCCAATGAGTCCTTTCTTCTCATTTGGTAGTCAAAGTATTTGAGCTTCAGCTTCAATCTCCATCCTTCCAAAGATTTGAGTTGGGTTGATTTCTTTGCGCTCTCAAGAGTCTTCTCCTACACTGCAAAGCCCAGTATACTCACTATGGTTCCACCACAAAACCACGGTCGACTAAAGCACGCTCGACGAAACTGCGTACCTGACGTCATCACAGTGCGATGAAAAAAGCACGCTGTGAGCGGTAAAGCTAAAATTAACNATGATTTATATATTGCCAACCCAACCTAGATTATATTCCTAACAGGTTTTTTTTAATTACTGTTATACTATAGTTGTCCATATCTTTCCACAACTGCACTTGTTCAACTTCATTAAGAAAGTTGCTAGATTTGGAACACTATATTGCTGAGTTTAGGAAGAAGTCAATGTCTGGATTTCATTAGGAAAACTGAATAATCCATTTTAATTAAAATTAAATTTAATTACATTTAATTGTTTATTTTGCTGCCCTGTTTGTTATGTCAAGTCTTTAAAAATCTACGTTGCTTGTTCAATGGAACTCTCTTTGACCTTTACATGGTTGCCTATGAGCGTATCCAATGTGAATGCTTAATTGAGAGAACTGTTATAATAGGCTTTTATTAAGAGGGAAACTATAATTATTTGTTTTACTTTGTCTTTCCCCCATTTTACAAGTCTGCTGATCAATTAGAAAAAACAGATGATCTGAGCAGACCAGATATACACATAAAATACATTTGGTACCCATTATATACACCATAATCTGCTAGGAAAATCTGGCATCCAACATTTCCACAAAAAAGATAAACTATCTATTATTGTGATCCTGCATATTATTAAGTATTGTAATATGGAATTATTGGGATGTAATGATTACACTTATGTATGCTATCTAAATCAGACATACAAACTGCTCACATGCTTATTGCCATTTTTTTCTTATGAATAGTAGTCTTGAACAGAATCAAATAAAGAATTAGATGCTTACTATGGTGATTGGTACCTGCTAATAATACAAATTAAGGACATAAGCAGAGAATTTATTGTAATTCATTGTAGGCATTTTTACATTGCTGCTGGCTCTTTTCCCAAATGCCTCAAAAGCAATTTGAAGAAATATCTCAATCAGCTTCACTTCGGTCAAAAGTAATGAGCAAACACTGATGACCTTCCACCACAAGCAAGCAAACAAGCAAGCAAGCTCCCATATTCACTCCATCAGAAGATAAAGGGTTTGCTTTTATTGATCCCAGGGTGTCCTTACTTCACTTCATTTGCATTTGTCTGGTCATATGTGTACACACACACAGAGACACATTTTCTGTGAGAAAGAGTTAAAAAAATACCAGAATCTGAATACCTTGGACATGGAAATCAGGAAACATGGTGCAGCAGTCGTTTCATATTGCCCTGAAATAAATTGGCTCAGCTCTCAAATAGCCAATCTTGAAATAACACAGAGATTTACAGCTCTTCAGATTGCAGCAAATATCATATGTACAAGTCTTTTACACTTAGCTCTCAAAGAAGTATAATTGGGAGTATTTCTTTCATTTACTTATTTGCAACTGGTCTATTCCAAAGTGTTAGTTGTAAATGTGCTGTCTGATAGTTGGAAAGCAAGCAACCAGTATAGAGATGACCCAGTAAGGACCTGGATTCTTGTAGGATTTAAGCCTTTGCTTCCTATAATAGATTTTTCATACAAATAACATAGAGGAATAAAATGTGGAAAGATGCAGCCCTGGACTTCAGTGGGGGAAGATTGGATGAATAATAGATGTATCATTTAGTTTCAGACTAAAAATCAAAATGTCATCTTGCATTCATTCTCTTCTTGATAGCTACTGAAAGCAGAAAAAGATGACATTTTAATTGTCACATTGTAATAATTTAATCAACAAAGGTTGACATTTTTTTCATTTTTAATGCATCATCCTGATAGTACTACTGAAAGAATTCTGTAAATAAATCAAATAACTAATCAACCTGTAGCTTTAGATAAGGTTATAAAGATTTTAAACCATTCTGATAGGAATGGTTTTTAAAAAAATAATAGAAACAACTTAAATGTTTAGTGAACTGGTTGATTATGAGAAGTTCATAAGAATGAGAGAAGCTCTTCAGCTCTACCTAGGCAATGGTATTAAGAATTGTACTACTTATGATATTGAAAATATTAAAACTTATTTATAGTTGGAATCCTCCAATATTTGTATAATCTTCTTTTAACATTGTATGATTTGGCAGTCTTCCTGTTACAATAACAAAGTCCATTTTTCAGCTACGTACCGTATGATAAATGTGAATTATAAGAAACTAAGAATATGATACATCATAAAAGCACCCAACTTCCTCTTTGGTCAACAACTTCGTTACCTAATTAAGTTTGTGCACACAGATTGTGATGAAACAGTTAAAAAAGATGGGGGGGGAGGAGGATAAGAGAAAAGCCACTCATTAATAAAGAACATGAAAGCTTTTTATCTATAAAAGGGAGAAAGTTATGATACACAGCATTAAACTTTACAGAAGTGATGGAAAAACAAAAGGTTAAACCAAGTGGAAAGTATTATCTCTTATCAACCATCCAACAAATAGAAGTTATAGATGATTTCCACAATCTTTTTTTAAAGGTGCATAATAGTAAATGTTTGTGGGAATGTAATTTGTATTGAGATCCTGTAATCCAGTTATCCAAGAC